CCCCCCCCGCAAATGGAATCATGTTTATTTTTATTTTTTCCGAAGTGCAATAAAGCTGCCTTCTTGTCTGCACCATATTCCTCGTGTAAGTGGTTAATATCCAGTTGAGACCATGCCAGACAAGGGTTCTATTTGTGGTCATAGGTGTCCTTCAAGGTTGTGGAGAAGGAAAGTGTCAGTTACACCTGCTTCTTTGCTCCTGCAGTTTTAAGTTCTGGAACTTCTCAGAACACTTCTCTCAGATAATGAGAGGAGAGGTGATACAGCAGCCTTTGTTAGTTCTTCCTTTTGCAGAGTGGTTTAACAGCAATACTATAGTTTTTTTACTGATTGATAAGGACATGCTTGTGGCCCTAACCCTAACCATTCAGTTAGATGCCAAGCCATTCAACGCTCCAGCTTGGCACATATGCAGGAGGAAGATGTGGCTGTCTACTTTGTTGGCGTTTATAACCTTTTAGTAGTAGAACCATGGGCCAGTTCTACTCTGTCCTGTGAATCCCTGTGAGTTGCAGTTCCCTCGATGACTGGGTGGTTTTTGTATATGTCCTGAGTTTTTATGTAACTGACCAGTCACAGAAAAGAAGCTGGGGGATCAGGTGCAGCTGTTTGAAATGGCCCTTCTGAGCAATGTCTACTTAGTTCAGAGTGTAGTACTAATATGCTAGGAGCAGAACAAGAAATATGTTTTCATCTGCTGCTTCCCACCACCTGGTTGATGGGCCCTTGGTTTGGAACTGCCTCATAGCTGACCCTCCAGGGTGTTTTCAGAGGCTATAAATTGCACACCAGGATATTGCCCAGCTTTTCTCCTGAAGAGCAACTGGTGGATTTGAACTGCATGCATTTGGATTGGCAACTCAGTTCCTTAACCTGCCGGCCCACCTGTCTCACCACTTACTATCAATTGCTTTGAACAGTTAGGATATATTCATCATGGGCTTCCAGTAGCTATAGTAACCAACCCACTTTCCTGATTCCTGAGTGTCCGTAGTCCTGGGGTTGTGTAAATGGTTAAACCCTTGACTTCTAGGTGACAGGTTGATGGTTCAAACTCACCCAGAGGCCCTTGGAAATACAAGCCTGGTGATCTTCTGAAAGGTCATACCCTTTGAACCTCTTAATGGGATCCAGATCTGCTCTGCACACAGGCAATGGGTCAGAGTGGACTGGATGGCAGCTGAGAAAAGAAGTACCCAAGATTGAATTTATGTTCCTTTTGGGGTCAGGGGTGTCAGAGTGAGGTGGCTCAGGATAAGATTCCGAGCTACCAGAGCAAGATAATGGAGCTGTTGTTCATAAGGTCTCTCTGAATTGTAGTTTGCCCAGTGTCACATGAGCACACCCCACCTTTGGAAGGCGGTATTTGGTGTGATCCTGGCTGAGTTGTACTGTCTAGGAATCTGCTTCTCACCAAATCTGTATCATTATACACATGACATACCAGGACGTCGACACACTTAAGACTGCTTATAAAAAAAACCAGAAGGGAGCTCTGATGGCCTAGTGGCAAGACACTGCACTGCAATCCCAGAGGTATGCGGTTCAAATCCACCAGATGCTCTGCTGGAGGAGGGACAGTCTCCTCCTGTACCAGTCAGATCTGATTTGACGGTACATGTAAAAATAATACAATAAAAAAAACCCAGATGAGAGAACTGTTTAAAAGAGACATATGATTAGGTATTATTGTCATGATAGGAGTCCAGAACGAAGGCTTCATAGTGGAGTGGACTTGGGAGAGATTGTACAACAGTGAAAGAATTTGTCTTGTACTTTTCAAAGAGAAGAACAAACTGGGGGAAGGACTGGGCAGGGAGAAATGAGTAAATGGAAATCCAAAATCTGTAAATTTTCATTAAAATTAATAGTAATGAAAATTTAAAAACTCACACCAATAAGGTTTAAAATCTATCAAAGATACAAAATAATGGATTGACAAGTCACAGTAGGAAATCAAGAAAAAGGGGGAAAAAAGGCAGCCAGAATCATGGAAGAAATATTACTGCAATGGAAAATTCAATGGCTGGACTTTGCAATGAAATGCTGAGATGACAGCTAGGTGACTAAGCAGCGTGCTAGATCATCACATCTATTGTGACTATTTGTAGACACATTTGTTCATGTTTTGCTGCTGTATCACTTTTTCTAATTAGATTCCCTTTTGGTGTAAGGATTGATTTTTAACTTGTAGTTGTCACTTACCTTTAAAAACAAATTTTTCTACAGTTTGGTTTTGGAATTATTTCAGGGCTATAGGAATCTCTCAGAGATGATCATTAGGTGCCAAAGAATCTACCACAACTCAGCGGCCCTGTGAACAGCAGATCTGAACTTGCCCTGTCCTGTTCCACTGTTAGAACCTCTTCCAAGCTCAAGCCCATCTCACTGGACAATGGCCTCTTTCTCTCATCGTCACCTACCTTCCCCACCCGATGTCTTCTTCCACTGGTCTCTCCTGACAACATACTCAAAGTGTGTGGCATTAGGTTTTAAGGTCTTTGGCTCTGAGGAGCACCCCGGTTGCACTTCTAAAGCAGTTTGATCTTAAATGTGTGTCTGATCCAGGCTGCGGTCTCCACAGTTACTTTGCTATGCATCAGAGAGCTTTACAATGACTAAGGATGATAGAAGAAGATTTGATGCTTTTGAGTTGTGGTGCAAGAAGAATACTGAACATAAAATGGACTGCCAAGAGAACAAACAAGTCCGTCCTGGAAAGGGTAAAAGGCTGCTCCTTTGAGGCAAGGAGTTTGAAGCTTCATCTGACATACTTTGGGCATGTTGCCAGAAGGGACCAGTCTTTGAAGATGAACATGCTTGGGAGGGTGGAGGGACAGTGCAAGAGAGGAAGACCCTTGAGATGGATTGACTCAAGATTGGGGTAAGGGGTGTAGGTGTATCAGAGACAATGAGGTTGGCTCAGGATAGAGCAGGGTTCAGAGCTATTGTACATAGGGTCACTATGAGTTGCAAGTGGCTCGATGGTACATAACAACAGCAAAATGCAATACCATTTAAAAATTTTTTTTAGTTTTAATTATTTGTGTGTGTGTACTGTCAAATCAGATCTGACTGGTACAGGAGGAGATTGTCCCTCCTTCTCCAGTGGAGCATCTGGTGGATTTGAACTGCTAACCTCTGGGATTGCAGTACAATACCACTGTTTTTACATTCCACTTGTATGGTTTCATTTACTAGTAAATTATGTTACAAAATTATTATTTTGTAACTTGCTACACTACTTAACTATCACTGAAATGGAATCTATAGTCACTAATATCAAAACATATTTTTAGATATGGAATTGCATAGTTTTGAAGAATTAGGATATTATTACATAATTAGTACTTAAGGTTCCCCCATATTT